ATAAAAACAATTTTTTAGAATTTTAAACAAAACTACTGATCCTTCTGCCTTTACCTCCCAATTGCTAAGATTCTAGGCAGGCACCACCACACCCAACCCTTGATACTGATTTAAACAAACCAATGTAAAAGCTTCTTGAGACAATTTAAATGTGGACTAAATATTAGATGATATTGAGGTGTTACCATGGATTTGTAGAGGGCGATGTTAAAATTACATAAGAAAGACAAATGTATGGGGTACGATAACAGAACATGTAGGATTGTCTTGAAGATATCTCAGAGAGAATGGATGAGGTGTGTATAATCCACACTGAATCTTACCAGTTCCACTCTCCCTCCAGCTTCTTCCCGCTATACAGTCTCGGTGCCCCTCCTCCACCTTCAATCCCTTCTAGCTCTCTTCTCTCCTGCCTTCCCTGTCTCCAGTTTACCCTCTAAAACCTCTCCACTCCCCTCGGTCCCCCGCCATGCCTCTCGCCCCTCCCCCTCCCTCCTCCCCTCTTGCTCCAGCCCCTGCATCTTCTCTCCCATCTGGTACCTCTCCCATCTTCCCTGTTCCCTCTCCCCTCCTTCCACTCTTTCCTCTCCCCCCTTCTCCTACCTCTCCCTTCTGGAACTTTTCCCTGTGCCCTCTCCCCTATCAATTCTCTGTTGCTCCCCTTTTGACCCTTTCCAATCTCCCTTCTCCTCCTCTTCCCTCCCCCCCCCACCCCCCCCCCCCCCCCCCCACCCTCACCATCACCACCATCATCACCATCACCACCATCACCATCACCATCACCATCATCACTATCTCCACCATCACCATCATCACCATCTCCACCATCACCATCACCATCATCACCATCTCCACCATCATCATCACCATTATCACCATCTCCACTATCATCACCATCTCCACCATCACCATCACCACCATCACCACCATCACCATCACCATCACCATCATCACCATCACTATCTCCACCATCATCACCATCTCCACCATCATCACCATCACCACCATCACCA